AAAGGGTTGCAATGCCATGACACCAATGCTATTCGTGCGCCTTTCTATGCCATATTGCATTGTATGTTAGCATTATTATATTGAATACTTTCTTTGGTTGTCACGCAACGTGTAATTCTCGTAGTTTGATGTTTAGTTTCAAAGCAAAAATAAAAATAAAATCAGAACAATGCTTCGTATCAAAAAAAAAAAATTGGGAAAGCCAGGTCACTCGTAGCTCAAGGCAGCAAATTTCAGATCATTTTTTTCCTCTTTTATTCTTTTTTTTTTCAAAGAAAAATAACTGCCGTGCAAAAAAAAAAAAAGATTTCTGACTCAAAAGATCAAGTGTCTGCCATCTTTCCTCTTTTGGACTGGGGGGGGGAATGTCTGAGGGTCGTGATAAATGAAATGATGGCAAGGCTACAATAAGTGAAGAAACGTGCAGACACACCTCTTGTGCATTTTAACAGAGCTTCTGGCACCTGGGGGATGCGTGGACAGGGATAAACGGTATAATATAACATCCATCACACTCATTACGGGGAGAAGAAGACACGTGTGTTGCAGTGAAATATTACGCAGGCTCAGTGAAGTGTTGCGTCTTGTCACACACACGCACACGTGTGGAGAGGATGGATTGCAGATACTGAACAGCTACAAGATAGTTCTTTGTAACCCAAGCATGATGTCATCTTAATCCTAACTGTTCACTTCTGGGCCTACATCTCCATGACTCTCCAAGCATATCCTTTTTTTTTTTTTCTCAAAAGATTGTAAAATTAAACTATTTAAATGCTGTAAATGTTTATAGCCATGGTCACCTTTTACAGTCCTGCGGCTACAAGAGAAAATAAATCCCCATGCCGTCTTTACAGCCTATCCAACCATATGATCTTGAAATCAAAATTACATGTTGATTTAAGGTATGCCACAGTGGATTTACTTTGCCTTGTGGGATTTGAAAAACAAATGGAGGTCAAGGAGAAATGTTTATTGGGATGAGACCGTGAAGCTGGAAGCGCAGAGATTTTTCATGGGACGGTTTTAAAACAATGGCTCAATTGTGCATTCAGGAGAGAAAGCTCAGTGGGATACCTGCACTATACCTTAAATCATGAACACACAATTGATGTTCAACTGAAACTAATCAACGAAGCAATTGACTGGTCTATTTCCCCCAAAAGCACAACTAATGAATAAATATATTTTTGCCTTGAAGCACTTCAATTCCAAAGTCCCCGTACATACCCACCTGCTTATTTCAAGTAAGAGATCAAACTTGACGGGACATACATTGGAGTATTGACACCGCCAGCTCTGCACTGCCATCTTCTGTTCATCCAAAAGTCTTGATTGAAATACACGCAGGCGACGGAGGATGTGTGCACCGTACTTTGCAAAAATCAAAATCACGATTCACCGACATTATTTTGTGACTTTTTTGAAAAATTGTGTTATGAACCATGAATGCATGGATGAGGTCTTATGATATGAAAATGTCCCAGTTTGAAAATAGCAAACAAACAAGAAGACATAAAAATGTATTTATTAATTTAATCATTATTATTCTCAATTTGTTTTGCATGCATTGAAGTTTTTGGTTCATGTCCATGTGTAATATTGTCCAGGACTGTATGAGAAATCACTAATAGCATCCGGTGATGAAGCCATTAATGTTTGTCGTCTCTTTTGACAGTTGGAGGCGAAGCGATGCATCCGGCGATTCCCGTTGATGATAAGCCGCCCGGTGGATTTGTGCAAAGCACCACCAACAGACGCTGTCAACTTGAATGGTAGGAGGAATCCATCATTGCCATTGTTCAAAACGTTAAACAGAGTCCACCGTGAGACGACAAAGCATCTGTAGATCCGATTTCACTTTATATGAACCCATGGACATCGTCCTCGAGAGTTTTCAAATGAAACGACTCGGGAGAATTTAAAGATTTTATGAGTTAGTGTGTTCACAAAACGGAATTATACAGATACTAAATAACAAGTGGGGGACATATTCGAGCCATTGTTCAAATCAAATTGTGCACATCTTGCAGCCTTCCATGCATGCATCGTTTCTTCATTTCAGTTCCAATAGACTGTGCGCGCCGTGCCTTAAATCAACCGTTTTTGAGCGAGTGATTGGAACAAGATGGTCCCGGGGATGGTGATTTATAAAATAAATGACAAGGAATGATTTACGGGAATCTGTGCCACTCTTTCAAAACATTTGCCGGGCAAGGCATTCAGCATAGCAACAATGGGGCTTTTATAAGAACCGATGGAAAGATACGACTCCGGGATTTACAGCTGGGGTTTTTTTTGTTTTTTTTACCTGCTCATCCTCTGCGATTCATTAGGCCAAACACGGGACAAAGAGAGAGTTTGGGAGGACAAGTTAAAGGTGAAGAGGAAGAAGGGTAAAGGGAGTGTGAAGGAAAGGAGGACAACAACTTTTTTTTAAAGCCTGTCTGGAGAAATTAGTCAGTAAATCAATGACTGATTATTTATTTATGTATTTATGGTTCTTGAGTTCCTAGCTAGCCGTTAAAGCCTCTGGAAACTGGCTCGCTCTCGTGTTAAGATGCTAAAATTGAAGTGAGCCAAAAAAAACCCAAACAAAATAAAACGATAATTTAAAAAAAAAAAAACAGGCAGTCTTTTGCTCGTGAATATTGGTGGTCTTTAGCTTTGAGGCCCTTTACCGATTTTGTCTTTTAGAGCAGCTTTACTTTCCGTGAACATTTTTTTTTTTTCCTATGGGTCTTCAGGGAGTGGTTTGAGTGCGGAAATGGCACCTAAGGGGCGGAAAGGCAGCGGTCTGATTGAGGGCACGTCGGCGAGGGTCGGTCTTGTAAAACTTGTCTGGACCCGATACGGTCTTGCTGTTTGTTTCACGGTGGGTGATGTTAACTGCTCTAGCGAGGCGGAGGGTCCCGGGCCTGGTGTGTTTAAACTGGAGATGAAGGGAGCTGGTTGCCAAAAGATGGGAAGGGATAAATTTTGATCGTCCATCCTCTGGGTGCAGACAGGTTGGATTTATAAACACACGTGAGTTGTATATCGTGTATGCATTTGTTGGAGGCTCCTGCCACCTAAATGACAAGACGATACTTGCCTTCACAATTCATTTCCGAGCCATAAGGGACATCCGGGAGAGATGTTTTCTTCATCTCGGCCAGCTCAGAGACCAGGGACCCTCACAGGAATATTCTCAAGTATGTCCTGCGTACTGAGTTTGTACACTGTGCCGGTTGAGTTCATAGGCGCCCCCTCCCACTGTTAAAAAAAAAAAGAAAGAAACAGCTATCATCTGATTTCTTTCTTTCACATTTGTGCATGCAAACCTGGGTGGTCGTCCTCCTCAAAATTCATCCCCATAATGTCGCGATGGACTGTGTTTTAAGTATTAACACATCCGGTTCAGTCTACCTTGCAAGATCCTTCACCTTCTGCGGATCAACTCTGATCTCGCTCTAAAAGTTGCATCAAGGGGCCTCCTTGGATCTGTGGCTGAGGTTTCTCTCCACAATGTCTGATTTTTGATAACCACGCATGCCTCGAAATATGAGGGCATGATTTGTAGGAGTAAAAGTGTGGTTTGAAGCCTTTGATTTGGCGTCGCCGTCCTGACTTTGTTGGAGAAATTTAATCATCGTCGCTTGTTGTTCGGACGAAAAACGAAGGAAAGTACGTGAGATCAGCTGCAGCATCAACAATGATGTGGACACTATATTGGACTTTGATGCCTCCCGGTTGCCTCCCTGGTGAGGTGTTCTGGATATTTCCAACTGGGAGGAGGCTGTTGGAGGAACTATCTCACAATTGGGCCAGGGAACCCCTCAGTATCCTCTCAGGGGAACTGAGGAGGTGGCCAGAGACAAGGAAGACCGCAAGCATCGCCAACTACCGAAGTGGATAGCCGAGGGAAGATCATGGATTGGATAGACTATGACCATGTATTCTGCGCTACAATCTCACGCCAACTTTGGCACAAAAGAAGACAACATGAAGTGGTGCATCACAATTGCGGCCTGGTATTGGCTGCCTTAATACAGCAAGACAAAAATGGTCAAAGCCAGTGGACACGGCAGCAAGAATGCAATGTCCACAGCTATTTAACTGTTTAAAAGAAATGCATTTATGCGTTTATTTATCTTGCATTAGCCGGTTTCCATCTCTCCTTGTCGGTTCATCGTTAGTTTGCTGTTTCTGACCATGTCGCTCTCGCTTGCCTCCATTTTGTTAAATGAGGTATCATATTCCTGTTGTCGAATGAGCAAATCTTAAAGCGCTAGCCCGGGGCGCCGCGATTATCTCACCAGGCTGTTTTGCTTTCTGAACGCAGCGGAGACGTATGACGATGGTTTCCGTTGACAGAGTTGTAGAATTCGTCCCTTGAGTCTGTCAACCGGCATCCTCTTGGGATGACCCCCCCCCCCCTTCCCCCTCTCACTGAACTTTTTTGACATGCTATACTCGGAACTTTGCGTATGAAGCCCCTTCAACCTCTATTCATTTCATACATTTAACTTTGGACTACTTTCACTTAGCATATACACACAATCAATAATTGTGGAAATTAGATAAACGAGAGGGGACATAGAGGCAGGCAAATGGCCCCGATGCGTGCACCCGAGCCTGCCTTGCTGTCTCTCAACTGGAGCGTGCGTCACAGTAAGCGGCAATGGAAAATGTGAACAATAACCTGTAATGCTGAGCGAGGCCTTTGATGCCTGCCAAAAAAGCATCACTGTGCCCATTTGTCTGGGGTGGTGTTTCACGAGGCCCGAGCATTGCAACAATCACATTTAACCGTGCCATTGCATTGGCACAGTCTATTAAAAAAAAAAAAAAAAAAAAAAAAAACTCCAGACGACTTTTATGGTTATGCTCTGATTCTCATAATCTCAAATTGTTTTGCTTATACACCAACGAAGTTAATTTGTAAAATAAAAAAAAAAAAGATCATTGACTAAAGATGATCTTTTGTTTTGTTCTCTGGCAAACTTGTTCAGTGAGTAAATCAATTCAACGTACACATAGTGTGGCGGTTTTTGACGCAGGCCCATTATCTAACATTGCCGTGCTCAGTTTTATTTGCTTGTGCACCTCAGCTCCGAAAGTAGGACTGGCAGTTTGTGTTTGAATGTGTATCCTGGTTCAGGGAGGGTGGCCTAAGATGTATGAATGTGCGCCCTTTTGATTCGAGGTGAGGACATATTTAGTCAGATGGTGAAAGCTGTATTTTTTTTTTTTTTTTTACTGAGTTCCCACTCCAAACTCCTCAATTGATATTCTTCCCATACTCCATCATTGCCCTCATCAGTCATCGCCACGTGCACTGACCTAAGCAGAGGCCGCAGAGGTCAAGACCGCGCTGTCCATTGCTGCTTCTCCGCTCATGAATAAACAAAGGCTAGTGTTTGGGTGTACACGTCCGTCAGGGCGATTCCACACAAAACATACACATACTCACACAGCCTTGGGCCGTCTCCACTGGCATAATTAGAAACATTTGGGATCATTTGCAAAGGGAGCACAAGTGGTGATGGGATCCAGATGCACTACTGGCTTTGGCTGTAATACAGGAACCCCTTATTTTACGAGGGACGATGACTGGCTCCTCCTTACCCAGGGAGGCGTGCGCCAGTGTCCGCCCTGCCCAATTTGTCTTCATATTTAACTTGGGCTTTTTTTTTTTTTTTTGGAGGGGGAATCATCCACATTGAGGTCAGATTTTGGTTCAGGTAGTTTTATTTTGCATTGAAAAGAGTAGTGTCCACAAACAAAACCTCCAACATATATATTAAAAAAAAACCCACTGATATCAGGATACATATTCAGAAGCAAAACCCACGGTATTATTTTATGGTGCTAAGAAGCACAGGTATCCTTAAAAGCCCGCAATTGATGTCGTCTTTTTGGTATATACTCCAGTTGTCTGTGGATGAAAAATAAAAATGACACTATCAGCACCTCCTGGCTCGTAGGTGAAATAAAAAAAAAAAAAAAATTAAAGGGGTATCTGACTATTTTAAGCACAAGTCTGCCACCTAGCGGCAGATGCTTGGAAATATTTCCCACCAAGCCAGTTTCTTACATTTGAGTGAGGATGATTCAAATGTTTTATGCGCATGTGGCCGTTTATCACTTCGACCCAACTACTTCTATGATCAGATTTGAAAATTCAGGTACTGTATAATCTGCGCAAGACTCAAATATGTATCGATACCGTTAATAATCAGTTCCTCACCTTTCGTTTGGTTCATCTTGCCGCAAACAAACTCCCGTGTTTCACCTGCAGTCAGTTCATCTGTTTCTTTCGTATGCTGGGAACATAAAATGAGATGTGAATGAAGTAAAAATATATCAGGCTGTCATGCAAGCTTTTTCTGCGATAGCCTATTGTAAATTCAGCAGAGCCATCATTCCTCGATCACCCCCCCCCCCCCCCCCCAAAAAAAAAACTCCCTCTGAACATCTAATTCCCTGTCCGGAAACATCTGTCTCAATCCCAAGTTAAGCCTCAAGAATTTAGAACTCCAGCTGTTTGGTCCATAATGTTCGGTCACACAGCACTGACCTGCCCTCTTTGAGCAAATCCTCGTATGACATCTCCGTCTGATCAGGATGCAAAGAGAGCTGCCTCCAAATGTTCTTGGTCGCCGCTGTGTGACACACGACTGACTCACGCGCCCCCTGTAAGCTGATGGATCGATGGAAGGATCCCTGAAGAAAACACAAATTGAGAAACCTGAATGTAAAATGTGCGTCTACGGCCACAAAGAAGGGTGTGTCAATACCTGGTAAAGGCCTACAGAGGGTCAGTCGGACCTCGGGGCCTGACGTCTTGAACAACTTTAGTACTTTCTAAAAAAAAATAATAATAATAAAAAAATACAAAATATAAATTGTGAATAATGAAAACGACGCCAAATATGAGCTACATGAACAAAAACATCTATAGCCTATCCTAGGGTAGTGTCTGACATGGACATGCAGAACAAAGCCTCTGGAGAACCAGTTTAGTCGCTTTGGTCAAAATCACAAAGCCAAATTGTATCCATCGCACCGGTGACGGTTGTCAGTCTAAAAACTGCAGTTATGATCAAACGTTGAAAGGTAAAAAAGGTGAACTCGCAAATTTAAAAGCCTAATCCACATACTGGATAAGACAGCTCCTTGAGCGAATGGCCGTCGATGGCTAAAAGTACATCCCCCTCATTGATCCTGCCACTCATTTGGGCCGGTTGGCCGGGGAAAAGCTGCTTTATCCGGATCAGGTTGCCCAACTCCGGAATCGGCGGGTCCAGCTCACACATAACGAAGCTGAAGCCCAGACCGTTGGCGCTCTTAGTCAGAGTCACTTCCTGTGTATTTTCTGAGGAGTTTTGGTGAGGGACGATGGAGATGCAGAGAAGATGGAGAGAATAACACACAATGCTGGTTAGTGCATCAAACGTCACACCACTCCAATTGGGGTTGCGGAGTGACAACTATCTTGAGTGTGAGGAGGGCCCGACTGATTAATTGTTGATATTAGCGCTTTTAAAATCAGTGCAAATGCAAGTCGAGATTTTTTTCGTTGGTTGGAGTAATACACATATATATTATTAAATTACAATTTCCAAGTAAAGAAATCATTACTTGTGCGTCCTCACAGCTTTTGAAGACACAACGAAAGCCGAGAATGAAATGCAAAAAAAAAAAAAAAAAGACTCCATCAATAAGCAGGTGACAGATTACGAACGGAAGTGGCCACAGGACAAATTCGCAGAACTCGTTCATTTCTATGTTAAGCAGGAGGGATGGCAGACCTTGAGGATAAGGGAGGCCGGAGGGATAAGAAGTGGAAAGGGCAGGGTCAGAAAGGAAGATCAGGAAGAGGAAGTGTGTGAAAGTTCATCTTCATACGGTCCGTTGAGTTTGCTTTTGAAACGCGCGGCTTAGTGACAACCGCCGTTGCTCTCACGAAGATCTATCTTAAGCGCCGTTACATCCGGTCTTTCCCGTAAATTGTATTGCAAAATATGTCACGGCAAGTTGCGAACGTACCATCGGTAACAAAGTTGTAGTCCCTGGGTCGGTCGCAGAAAACGTGGGAAGGGGTGCTCATGGACGAGGCGCTGTTGATCCGAAACTGCCTGGTCGCTCCATCCACATTTTGAATGGGCTCACTGCTGTCAGTGTTGGCGCTCAATGAAACTCTCGGGAAGCTCTTGGGCGCACTCTCCACAGCCAATGTCACCGTCTGGAGAGAGGTGGGTGGGAGAAATTTCACATCAGCGTCCCACTTAACTGCAGAGTGATCAGTCACATGTTGCACTGACATCCCCGGTTTTGCACAGGCATTCCACGGCCTGTTCATAGGTGAAGCCTTGAAAACGAATCCCATCGACCTCTAATATCCTGTCACCTGCAACAGAAAACATATACAGTACAATTATATTTTCACTACTGTGTAGCCCAGATTAAGCCCTTCCAGCATTTGAGTTGATATTCTAAAATATATGTCCCCCCCCCCTGTGTATTGGTCAAGCCCCCCTTTAGAGAAAAAAATCTGGAGCCGTGCCTGGGCAACTTGCTTTTGTGTTTGGGTCAGAGATATTTGCAGTTAGTCCCACTTTTAGCGTTCAAATTCATTCATTTCCTGTTTTTGTGTGTGTGTGTGTGTGTGTGTGTGTGTGTGTGTGTGTGTGTGTGAGAGAGAGAGAGAGAGAGAGAGAGAGAGAGAGAGAGAGAGAGAGAGCTGAGCTTCTTCTAATGTCACAATATTGAAATACAGTAGTATACTAGGTACACGTGTTCATCAAAAACAAAGGCAGAACTTAATGATTTAAATCAAATATAGCGCACAGAAGTTAAAATAAATATTTAAAAACTACTTAGCTATACCTGCACGTAGGCGACCGTCTCTCTCAGCAGACCCTCCCGGAACAAGGCTCTTGATGTAGATTCCACCGTTGGGAGCATTAGTAGTGACACCATCCTTGAATGATAGTATTTATCCTCGCATCAATCCAAAAAAATAAAAATAAAAAAATCATAATAATATAAGTAATACTACAACATTGATCGTTGGCCAAAGCGGCAGGTTCGGTGTTACAACGAGAGCAATCTTTCTGTCGCTAATCCTATTGGACCGCGAATGTTAATGAGATTGAGTCAAGAAGACTTTGTGACCCACTCCTGTGGATGACTCGTGCTCGTTTCCGCGTCGACTCAAGGTTAGCCTCCTTAAAATCCACATTCAGTCACTTCGTCGGTACCGTAAATCCTCAGAAAGCACTTTTTGCAAACTCACCGTGATGCTGATGCCCAGGCTTCCGGCGACCTTCTTGAGCTTCACGATGTTCTCCTCCGACCTCACGCAGTTCAGAGAGGAAGAAAGCGAACAGCCGTCCTTCAAAATGACACCCAACTTGTTGTTACGCGCTCAGCCGTCAAATCCTGTACCGTCACGGTACTTTGATAAAAATAGGGATCAGAGTCACCGATACCTTCACGGTGTTTTGCATATATTGTGCATTTTTTGTACACCCCACCTCCAAAAGTTTAGAATGGTGACGCCAAATGTTTTGGCCCGAGTCAATCCAGCAAAAAACAAAGGCGGCAGGGAAGAGCGTCAATTGACCTTGTTAGAATCCTTTTTTTTTTTTTTTTTTTTTTTTTTGGGAGGGTAGGTGTACAGTGTATGCACTTAAAATGTTGCTCTACCTGCGCGTTTAAGATCCGGACTTCTTGGGGAGGCTGGAGTCTGTTGCCGGTCTTTGGCTCCATCATGACGGAGACAATCTCATCCAGGCTGTCTCCCGGCTGCCCGTATGCCATCAGCGTAGTTTGCGACTCATAATTCCTCAATGCAGAAGGCCGCAGAGTGTTTGGAGTTTGTGGGGCTGAGATTAAAAAAAAAAAAGACACACAAGTTATTTTGTATGCTGACAACACGCGTCCACACGAATGCGCGCGCACACACACACACACACACACACACACACACACACACACACACACACACACACACACACACACAGCACCTTTTGGCTGTGAGATAATGAGCTGCACCTCCTCCGGGCTGCTCTGCATGACCTCCGCTGCCTCGCTAAAGGTGGCGCCCTCCAGGCTGATGTGGTTCAGAGAGATCAGGCGACCACCTAAGGGGGAAAAGGTCATTGGAATTGTGCTTTCCGCCAAAACCGCACCCGACAAAGTGCGCTGTTCATACAATAGACCCGCCAATTATGGTCTAACGGCCATTCAAGACCATACAGAGCAGAACAGAAATGACATTCAAAAATCACAAAGGCCTTTTGGAGAAATATTTTTCTGTGGATTGGAAAAAAAAAAACATTTGAACTTAATATGAGTCACTTGGATTCGGTACCTGCTCGTATACGTCCATCCTTATCAGCAGGCCCCCCCGGCACCACAGATGCAATAAAAATGCCCAGATCATAGCGTCCCGCCGTGTCTTCTCCCACAATCATGATGCCTGCATAAACACGTGATTTGGACCAACTGAATTACACTTGGTACCCTGAAACCTGCCGTGGGAACAAATTTTTCCGGTATTGTAGTCCAACCTTACCAAGGCCAAGCTTCGGATCTTTCTTGAGAGAAACGCATAGGACCTCTCTCTCTGACGGTGGCCCTTGTTTCGTTGGAGTTTCTGTGCAACATGGAGATCCACGCTCAGGCGACTAGACTCGCCAAAAGCTACTCTGGTCTTACCTCTGGCTGCTGGTGAGCCAAAAGGAGCTTCAGATCCACTTCTGGGAGAACAGGCTGGAGAACGCATGCCAGTGCTGCCGCACTGACTGCTGGAGCACGTGCTGCAAATGAGACGTTTCAGAATGGCGTCGCATTCGCGCGCAGTCCGACAACATAGTCCCAAGCTAGAGGAGAATGGGGATCGGAAATTTTTAAAAATGGAGGATTTTTGTACCTTTGTTCGTAAAGGCTCTGGCGCTGCTGTTTAAAGCGGGCCTCGATCCGAGCGGCGACATCTTCACAAAGCCTTGTCAGAGACTCGCGTTGAGGAGTGTTGAGACCGCTGTCATCTTGAGGCGTCTCGGAGCCCATGATGGACTTGAAGCGGCTGTTTGGAGTCCGGCAAGCCGTCGCGTATTGAGAAATGTTCTCGTCTAGAGACAAATGCAACAAAATGGCCGCAACAGAGTACCCTATTTATTTCCCCGTCTTGGAAACGAAAAGTGAAGTGCATTCTACTGACCCGAGACCATGCTGTGACTGAGCTGACGAGAATTCATCTCGTTGTTGAACTTGTGCTGCGATGAGCAGAGGTTGCACAGGTATTTGGCTATCTTTGACGTCTCTGCGATGAAGGTGTGTTTCTTCTTACTGGCCCGGCACTCGATTACAAATTTATGCCTCTGGAAGAAGATGATGGGACATTCCAACGAGATTCGTTAGAGTCCACATTTTAGTTTTTGAATCATTGGTTGGATAGTTTGGGTTAACCGTAACGCTCACATTGGAGGAAATAGTTTCCGTCTCCCTCCAATAAAACGTCTGGCTTGTGCTTCGGCAGCCATCTTTCACCTCATAGACAATAACGCCTTTGGCACAAACTCCGAGGATAATTTCTCCTTCCACGGGCTTTTTCTCACGTGTCACGCGGTGGAACAAAACACCGTATTCGGGCAACTGCAGACACACCTGCATGATGGGTACCAAAGTCTGTTGTTGCGTAAACTCAACGACGGGACGTCTGCATCAAAATTGAAAGGATTTCTCATCAAATGTCTTACTTTGAGGAACTCCAGCTCGGATTCATCTGTGAGCATCTGGGCATTGTTTGTGTGGAGCCGTTGCAGTTCTCCGAGAATATAAGGCAAGGCGCGTTTCTCTATCACGCTTTTGGGGACGTATTGATCGGGGCGACAGTAGTTTCTACCGTACACCTGAGGCAAAAAAAAAAATAGCATTGTTACTTATCGTTTTAATCTATCTGATTGAAATGCAACCCACGCACAGCATCTTTTTCACAACCTCACAATCAGACCAATGTTTCTCCAAACCTCAGGCATGCAGTCCCCATACTCCGTCTGCAAGGCCAGCGCTCCGAGGTACAGAGCAGTCTCCTCATGGCAGGACAATCTGTTGTCCAAGAGGTCTCTTCGAAGTTGGAGGTAGTACTGGTGGTGGGTCTGTTTGTGCCTGATAGGATGAGACTCAGAATCAGTTCGAGAAGTGGGGGCGGGGGTGGAGGGGGGGGGGTCATTTTAAAATACTTACAAAATAGTAGAAATGTCATTGACAAAGAATTTGACCCTGAAGAAAAGGACAAAGGTGGTTGAAGGCACTTTCTTCCAGCTCTCGGGAGCAATTTTGGAAATCTTGGTCTCATTGTCCACAAAGAAAAACTCGTTATCTGATGAGAGAGAGAGAGAGGGACGGACAAGAGGAGCCTGGTATGACGTCAACGGAATCGTCATATCCTTTAATGACGCCTGTTGGCGCAAATTGCTCATTTACCATCAATGTAAGCAAGGCCGAAGTAAAAGTGTTCCACCAGGTTGGCGTGAGCGACAATCATATCAAACACGTCGCCGCCTCTGGATTTCACCTCGCATTTGATGGCTATGTTCTGACCGTTTGGCATCACCACAGTCAGTTCTCGCTGCGTGCTGGGAGATTTCCCCTTTTTTGACTGCACCGTGAAAAAACAAAATGGAAGGAAGACCGAGCGCTTTTCTCAATGCGCGTTACAAACTTAGAGTGCAATTTCTTTGGGCTCTCACCAAAATGGATCCAGGCAGCTCTAAGACAACCACGGGCTCATCCGACATTCTAATAAATTCTGGACCCATCTCCTACAGCAGAGATGGAATAATTCATCAGTCATAACCTCCCACCGAAAAGAAAATGGACTTTCTGCACCGTTTATGCGATGGCAATTTTTCCTCACCTTCATTTTTTTCTCAGTCAGACTCATTGTCGACTCAAACTGTGTGAGAAATCTCGAGTTAGCGCGTCGGTCTCCGCCCAGGTATGGGCTACAAACAGTGCGATTGAATTGCTGCCAGCTCCCGTTACTCTCAGTGCGTCGACATCCCAAGGACTCTGGTGTATAGGATGCTCCTGAGAATCTTCTGGAGATCTTCTTTTTTGTCAACCATGTAGAGTTACAAAAAGACCGACCTGAAATTGAATCCATTGCTGAGTAAGGTTTGCACGGTACATTGTGTAATTTGTCAACCGTAATACCGTCACTTTCCTTCCATACCGTGTAACTTGTCTCTGATGATCTGACTGCGATCACTCAGCAGGGATCCGTTTTCTGTCATTGACACCGGATCTACCTGGGACGAGGACGGTTTGTGCTGTCAGTCAAACCCAGTGGAGAGCAACATCGTCAAAACCAATTTGTGGTCCACGAACCGAGTTTCTGTAGATGTCTTCCACCAGCTGCTTGACAAGCCGCTCCGCTGGATGGAGCATAAAGGTCTTGTGGTGAAGCTCGCAGGTCTCGAGCACCGTCATCAGGTTTGTCCGCCTCACTACTGTGTCCTCGCACATGCTCAAGAGTAAACCCTCCAGCGCTGCACTAAGATAGATGGGCTGGGGGGGAGTTAAGGGGGGGGTCACAGGAAGAACATTTCTTGAGAGACATTTTTACCATCTGCTCATTAGTTGGATAATTGACGTTTGGAGGAGCAAAGTACCTGGTTTTGAGGTACCTGATAATCCACGCACCAGTAAAAAGTCATGCCCAGTGAGTACACAAGCGTCTGCGGGAAAGCAGGGACAGAAAAGGCACCTCGTTGTTCCAAGTTTGCTCTAATAACTGGCTAATAACGATCACGTTATCGAGATTGGGGTTCCCGCCGCAAATTTTTTTACAACCTTTTCAGCTGTGGTTCTTGTGGAGGCGGTGTGACCCTGAATGACTTCAGGAGCCACGAAAGAGGCCACATCATCATTTCGCCCGCAGCTCTTGAAGGCCATACGTCCATTAGCGGACAGTAGCACCGAGCCTGGGCTGAGGACACTGCACATGTTGCCAGAGCCTGAACAGACCACACCAGAAACCGTTAGGGATAACTGGTGGATCGTTTGCGGGAATTTACAGGAAGCTAATTACCTTTCTTGGAAACATCCAGTAAGGCCTCGGTGGTGACAAGCAGCAGACACCAGACCTCATCCTCATCGAGTGGTGAACCCCTGGCCTCTAGCACCTCTGCCAGGGTCACAAAGGTCCCCATCCTGATGGAAAACAGAGAGCTGCGTGTCAGCAGCCTGTTTTGTGTGAGTCACAAAAGCCTCCCACCTCTCTAAATATCAGCCAGTGATCAAATATCTAACCAAACCAAACCGGATTTAGATCTATAGGCCTATAAGAGAACGTGAAGACCCCGGTCATATCCTGTATGTGAGCTTCAAAGAAGACTCTAAAATAGAGAAGATTTTTTTAGTCTAACGGTTACCTTTCTCTGTGTGAGGGTTACTTCTTTGCCTATAGATCAGCTCGTAACCGTCCCCGTGAACCCATGACCAATCTGTCATTACAATAATAGATACTTATTTCTCATGACTGCATCCACATTGTTAGCTAAATTCTTGAAAAAAAATGTGTCCATCTGTCAAGTGGAAATTAGCAAGCGTGCATGCCTTCTGTGTCTGTGTGAGGAAAAATGTAGTTAAAACAAGATACCGTTAGAAGCTATTTATTCTGCTCCACAGTGGAGCTAGTATTGGGTATTTCTGGTGTTCTTTTAATCATGTTTGGACGTAATAACTATTTGTTTACATGTAAAGTATAGCTTACCTTATTCCCTTTAATTTCCCTCAGACATCCGCCTTGTCAATCTAATCCTTCCTCTCACACGTCCCCCGCTGCCATGTCATCCACCTCTCCTTCGTCGCCAGGTCCCCATCTGTCACGGCAGCTTGTTGCCTATCGTCATCGTCGTCGTCATCATGTCCTCATGACAGCTCAATTGTCTTTGCTGAGACCAAAGTCCCCAGATATCATTTCCTCTGCGCTCACAACAAGCGACGTGTCGATTCTGTGTTTTCTGTCATTTTCGACTATTTTTAGACCGGGGACATAAGCGCATAATTGGATTTGCCAGACAAGCTAATGGCAGCTGTGGCAAGTAAAGGGCCAATCCAATGGAGGCAGCAGTGTGTTAATGATCCATTTCAACAACAAGAGACTATCTGTCTCAATTAGCTCACCTTCATTGATCTATGATCACTTCACCATTATACGAGGTGTGTCATGACACATCCATTTCAATTGGCAGGTTGCTCCAGCATGCCATTGCACTTTGCAGCCAGGAACTGTCTGATGCTTAAGGCATTGGGAGGAAAAAGTGAACTGGTGCAACAATTACAAAATGTTATCTCATTCCCCATAACAATTGAAATATCGATTTATTAAATACATACTCTTTGGCATTGTATTAATGATAATTATTAGAATAATAATGATAATAATAATAATAATAATAATACTGTAGTACTGTGAAGTTACTTTTATTGCAGAAGCTTAAACTTTGAGCACTGTATCTATAAACAAGGGAGAAATGTGACATGTTAGTGGTGAGATTTTACAGCCTTAAAAATCTATCGTGCAATATATTACTACTTCGCGGATTTCACGCGTCTATATTGTTACGTAACCCCGCGATAAAAGAGAGACCACTATAAACCTGTACAGTACGTTGTGTGACATTTTTGTTCCGTGACGTGCTGTGAGAAACACGAAAGTAAAATGACTTTTGTCTTGAATGAAATGTATTCTTCTAAGTATGAACCATACAGTCTGCATATGTCCAAATGTGCTTTATGAAACAGTTTGTAAATTGCCTTTGTAAAAGCCAAACGAAAAAATGCCAAACGAAGACCGTTCGAAGTAAACAGACGGCTTTTCTTGAACGCAGCCTGCGTAATCGTCACTTCCGCTTTTGTTTTGCTCGTCGTAGCAGCAACCGGGAACGTGCAGGAGGTCTTGAACGTCCCACCCTGGTCCTCATTGTGCAGCCGAGGAAACGTCGCGAGGTTCCGCCGACGTCGGTATGAAATGGCAGAAACTGCTTGTGTCACGGAAGCGCAAAGATTAGGTTACGCCGAAGCCACACATGTATATTGCCGGGACCCCGGTCTGTTAGTTTGAGGGGCCACCGAAGTCGCTCCGAAGAAGGATTTAAACGTTGTTTTGTCTCCATAAACCGCCCAGGTTGCGTCTCCGGCGGGCGGCGAACGATCGGCGACTGCGGGTCGACGTTGTTGAAATTATCCGGAGAGGGGTGAGCTCGACGTCTGGTTATTTTTCACCGGTGAAGCGTGTTGGTGGTGTTATTGTCAACAGTTGAGAGTTGCGGGGGGGTGGCAAGTGCCAAATTTGGGATCGTCAAAATGTGAATGCTACTCACGCCACTACAGCAGATAGGACAGGTCTGGCCTAACTGGTACACGGCGACCAGGCTCGTGCAGTTGCCGAAGCGCAGGCGACTACTGTTTTTCTCTTTTGGTTGCACAGTAACCACCAAGTATGAACATTCAACTGTGTATAGAAACAATGTTCATACTATGCACACACATACGATGAGCAGTCTGCGTCAACACGTTTACACCCAGTGGCCAGATCCTTTAAAATGACAAATTGGACATGTGCAACGATTGATGTTACGTGGTGTACACTGGATGTAAAATATTTCCAGTAAAAACAGCCAAACTTTTGATGTAGTCTAATTGACCTCACTCGCATGCCCTGCCAGTTGCATTGGCAGTTGCATAACGCAGCTTGATTTTTCTGCTGCAGTAATTCTAATGCACTTTGGTAGAAAAAAACCCCCAACAATGTATGATAGCCTGTCGGTGTTGCATTGCTATTATTGCAAAGCAGCTTTTACTCTTATTCGTCGCACTATATCAGTGAGAGAAGCTTTCTGTTACCTCAGCCCCACCCCCTTGATCGTTGGTTTAATAAATATAAAGTAAGCTTGTTGTGGACGCTCCACTGTGTTTTATGTGTTTAATTATTGTAAATGGAAGCAGGCATACAGCTTGTTATCTCAAGACACTCAGCCAAGATTGCAGGAATGTGCCATCATTCAATTTGAATTGATACATTCCACACATAATTTTTGCCAATACATGTAACTGCATGCACCACAATGGTTCTTTTTCCACCCCCCCTGCTTTTCTTTTTTTTTTTTTTTTTTTTTGGATAACAACACCGCCATGTTCAGAAGTCGTTGTGGTAGTGATAATCTTGGTGCTATTTCCAATTTTTGTTGGTAGAGGAAGATTCGCAATTGGGAAGAATATTGATAACCCAACCTTAAATTGTGCGGTAAGTAGAGGTGTAACCTTTCGTGGGAAAGGTGCACAAATCTTACTTTGAAATAAACTGAGCAAACTATTTGGATGATTTTTGTCATTTTGGCTGGATTTATATAGATATATATTTTGCAGTGACCGTGTTAAGGGTAGTTATGCCTCCAGCCATTGACTAAGATAAGAGCGAGGCTTGTTCACCAAGGCGAGAATTATCAACATGGCAAGACTTGCCTCTGCGGACTTTGACTTGCATTTGGCGTGATCATCAGTCAGCGCTCATCCATTGAAAATGACTATCATTTATCAAACGATTTGATGATGATGACAATGATGATGAAGGTTGCAGCGTTCGCTGGGAAACATGCAAAGCAGACTTAAAATCTTCCTTCAGGGCAAGTTTCAATAGATGTCGTTGATTTCTGAGCCCCACTTCTGCCGTTTGGTCACCTCAATGAGAATTAATTCACCCTGTTATCATTCATTGATTTTGTTAAATACCCGCAATCCCCCGATGGGTGGTCTATGCGACATGCATTCGATTAGAACCTTTGGGAACTCTATTCAAGAGGTGACGCATTTGACTTTGAGACGCGGTGCCTGAGGCTTGTGCGATGGACTCATCGGAAGGCTTGCGGAGTACCTGTCGGCTGCCGGGCCCCTCTGCAGACAATTAGGAGGGAGCGGGTGATGCTTTGATAAGAGTTCAAAGAAAAGGAGGCGGCAAAGCTGAGTAGGAAAGTCTGAAACAGGATTTAGAGAACCATAAACATTTTTGTCCTTTACAAAAATAACATAGTACCTCGACTTAACAAAGACGATTCCACATTGTGTATTTAAGATAATCACATCATTCACAAAGTTGGATTAAAAATGGGTGGCTTGTGTCAGGAAGGGCATTCGGCATAAAAACCGTGCCAGCTAATCATGCAAAGTGACTCACTGTGGCGACCCCGTTGATAGGTCAAGCTGAAAGTGGTCCACATGAGCACACAATGAATAGTCCTGTCGTGAATGTGACCATCAGTGACAATAAATAGAAAGTCCAATGCCTGTTTGAAGGCTAATTGGCGCGGAAAGGAGGGCTTTGCTCGCCAGTCACGGAAATGAAGATCAAGTCATGGTCCGAGAAACATCCAGTGATCATAGCCAGCGCCGGTCTTCTCAGCACACAGTGATCCAAATCCCTCTAATGATTCTTCCTTTTTGGAGCGGGCACGAGAGGCGGATTCCTGCTTCCGCTCATCCTTCACCTATTGTCATTGCGATATTGCCCTGAGCCTTTACCTTTACATGTTGTTGCCTTCACAGCAGGGACGTGGTTGTCCAGCTACGATATTACAATATTGCCAAATATATAATCTGTATGATAAATGAAGAAACTGCAGGATCAATACAAGCACAAGGTTAAAAAAATTCTATCATTCAGAAATATGTGGAGATTCATTTTTTTTTTTTTTTTCTGCTCTCTGAAGGTGTCGTGCGTTCTCCATTTGGATGCTCGGCCACAGTCCAAGGCAAAACCATGAACCGCAACAAGCGTGAAAAGGAATACTACAGTATAGATGTGGGCGACTCGACTTTTATGGTTTTAAAGCGCTACCAGAACCTCAGGCCCATTGGGTCCGGAGCACAGGGAATTGTCTGGTGAGTCACTTCTATTTTGGACAATTTTCATTATTTATCGTTGGGCTGACTTGGTGCTAAATGGATCCATAAGGAGGTGGTGAACAGCGCAAGAGAGACGATCAGCATTGGTTTGCATTTCTGCACGCCATGCAGCAAAAAAAAAAAAAATATAAAAGATAATGATAATAACAAATCCGCCGTGTCAATTTTTGGCTTGTAAGGAGGAAGGAGCCAAACCAAATCCAGTCAGAAGATGAAGCAATGTGAATTTTCAAGCTCTGACCCCCCCCACAAAGCACTCGATATGACTTTCCCATGAATTTGGCCGGCCCTTTGCGTCCCGGGTGGTTGCCTGAGTCTTTGCTTTGCCTTTTCACTTCAGTTCGGCTTATGACCACAACTTGGAGAGGAACGTCGCCATCAAAAAGCTGAGCAGACCCTTTCAGAATCAAACGCACGCCAAACGAGCCTACAGAGAATTGGTGCTGATGAAATGTGTCAACCACAAGAATGTAAGTTTGGTTTCTATTTTATTCTGATTTTTTTTTTTTGTCTTTTGTTCCCCCCCCCCCCACAGACTTGATTTCCATATAAATTCCAATACACCGTTTATTCAAATATGAACACACACACAACATTTTTGGGAGCATCTATTTTTCTTCTGCCACATTATTAAAAAAAAAAAAAAAAAAACATCTCTCCTTACGTCTCCATCTTGCATCCCTCAAAGGGTCCCAAATGCTTAATTGAAACCGAATAATCGCGGCCGACCATGGGTTTGGCACGTCTTGTATTATTTACCGCGCTGCCTCCTCCACACGCGGAAACAAAATCTCCTGCTGTTTATGATGATAGCTCAGGCAGCTGCAACCTTTCAGATGAACAAGCGAGCATTGTCGGGATTTGCGGTGGCGGTCATGTTGTCATTTCACAAGGCTTTATCCCTCTGCAGAGTAATAACCTCCCCCCTTATTTTATTTTGACAGATAATTGGTCTATTGAATGTATTCACACCACAGAAGACACTGGAGGAGTTCCAAGATGTGTGAGTAGAACCCAGCTAATAGCTCAGCTCCCTCATTGCATGTGTCAATTAATGCGGGAGGAAGCGCAAAAAGGGGGCTTGGTTTATATTTGCTGACATTTCGAGGCGCTTCGAGAGTTCAGATCAATCTGGAATTGGTGTTGAACACTCTTCTTACTGCGCTCAGGATTTGAATCGAACTACATCTAAAAATCAGGCCGAGGTGGTGTTTGTTGCTCCATCCAAATGAGTGTATCGCATTTCATCATTCCGGGGCTTGATGAATATCTTTTCAACAATTCTTGACATATAAATGACCGAGATGTGAACTGGAATGATTTCGTGTCATCCCGCCGAAGTGGAATTGTGCGCGCGCCTCTTTTGTGTGTTTGTGTTTCTTGCGGTCTGCCTGATTGGAAGTCAAAAGGAAGCTGAACAAATGGTAGCTGGAGGGTCGCAGAAGAAGTCCCGGGATGAAAGAGTCGCCCTCCATTAATGTGTGTGCGCCAAATTAAATTTCACTGCGTACGGATTCTGCACACTTGTACAGAATCAGTCTTGGGCTTTAAAATGTTACTAAAAATTATCATTATTATTGTTTGTTTTTTTTTTTTAATTGCCCGCGAGTTACTTCATGTGGACACGAATAATGAGCCTTGAAGCGAGAAATGCTGTGGGCATTCAATTATAAATCTGAAAGTTCCCGACAACATTTTCGCAGACGGTGACATAACAGCTGTCAGATCGTGTTGCGTCATTATTAAGGAAAATGAGAATTCTGCCTGTCGGTTTTTAAATGCCATGGGATGCACAAGTGCGATGTCTGTGGCAAAAAAATGTCACCTCAACTTGGTAGTTCGGGTTTTAATCATTCTTTTTTTTTAAAGTGCTTTTCAGGGAACTTCCCTCACTACAAATTGCAAAATTAGCTGTCAGATTAATTCTGTGGACATCGTTGTGTGTATAAGATAAGATAAATGCGCGTCCTTCTGTGCGCGTGCGTTTGATTAACCCACCTGCACGTCTCTGCAGATATCTCGTGATGGAGTTGATGGACGCCAACCTCTGCCAGGTGATTCAGATGGAGCTGGACCACGAGAGGCTGTCCTACCTGCTCTACCAGATGCTGTGCGGAATCAAACACTTGCACGCGGCTGGGATCATCCATCGGGTCGGTTCACACACACACACACACACACAATCACGCGCACACTTGGATTTCTTGACATTTCGATTAAAAAAAAATACCCGGCAGAGTTGTCAGGAGGTGACCTCCACAAGTTGTCGGAACACACTTGTGTTCCCCTCGAGGCGACAGAATGGTGTGCAGACGTACCAAAAAAAAAAAAAAAAAACCATCACCATCTCACACATGCACACACACACGCATCGCAGACTGTCAATCACCCGCATTGAAGAAGCAGCAGAGAGCCTCTTGCTTTGCCAAGCAGAACTAATTGAGCCACGGGCGGAGAAAACCAGCCTCGCTCACACTGGCGCGTCTTTGCACGCAAAGCCTTCGCTAGGTGAACACATGCGACCTGACTCATGGCCACGCATTTGGGCCATTTCAATTCTGTTAACGACTTGAATCTAAGCTCATTCAAGAGTCACTCGAGCGTAGCTTAACGTTAGCCCCGACGGACACGCTGGATGTATCCAGCGCTGTGACTCACCGCTGCATCTGATTTGGTCGAAAAGAGAAAAAAAAAGTCTTTTCATTCGTGAAGGAAAGCACTTGTTTACCGGGTGGCTGATTGGCACAGATCCGTGCACGTGGGGCATGCAGCGGACGCATCGCAAAACATAAATCACCCCTGTAGCGATGACTTAGCTGAATATTTGCCTTGACTGGCGATCAGAAGCTAATGCTGCAGCTCTGCTTACCTCTTGGATAATACCACATGCTACCATGGAGTACGGCGGCCTGCTTCATGGAAGAAACGGCTATATTCTCCTCCCAAACAATTATTTTTTTCTCCTTCAATCCAAATCAGTTGTGTAGCTTTCGTTAAGATTTAGTTTTCCCTTACAGGACCTGAAACCAAGTAACATAGTGGTCAAGTCAGATTGCACACTGAAGATCTTGGACTTTGGCCTGGCCAGGACCGCCGCCACGGGGCTCCTCATGACGCCCTATGTGGTCACCCGTTACTACCGTGCCCCGGAGGTCATCCTGGGCATGGGCTACCAGGCTAATGGTGAGTGGTTAGGAGCAGACTTCTTTTTTTTGGGGGGGGGGCAAAGGTCACACTTGGGCAGGATCTTGGCACGACTGGCATTTTTTTCTCTGTGGGGCAACCTTTCTGTGCCCGGCAACACTTGAGCACGTTTGGTATTTTATGGGGCTCGTCCCGATTGTCACGCAAAAAAAAAAAAAAAAAAAAGAAACGATTCTTTTGCTTGAGAATTCTTTTCAAAGTTGTTTTTTTTTTTCTGACCTTTGACCATTTTCTCCTCCTTGCTGACATTTGTTTTGGCTGATTCCTTCTTCCTTCTTTTAATGCTGCACATTGATAGTGGATATATGGGCTGTGGGCTGCATTATGGCAGAAATGGTTCGCCACAAAATCCTTTTCCCAGGAAGGGATTGTATCCTTGAACCGCTCGCAGCCTTCGCCGGAACTGCGACGCCTCACATCCGATTGTTTGGCCCTTTCGAGGGCCGCATGCTGATCCCACTTTTAATTCTCATCTCCCATTCCGACGATTGATTCCGAGTGTTGACACTCCTGAAATGTTTTCACCCGGATTATACGACTGTATCTCGAATTTCGAAATGACTGGTGAACTGTTTGTTACATTGCATGTATTTCAATTTTATCTCACCAGCACATCCATGTTTTTGTCTTTTTTTTTTTTTTTTTTTAGGTTCTTTTTTATTTATTTTTGGTTGATCTTTTTTTTTTTTTTTTCATTTTTATCATTTCCTTCCCGCATGCTAATGTGGCCGTTGTCATTCCATTTTTCAGTTGATGTCTGGTCTGTTGGCTGCATCATGGCCGAAATGGTCCGGGGTAGTGTGTTGTTTCCCGGCACTGATCGTATCCTTACGTCAAACCTCCTCACACATGCCCCCCCCCCTCCCAAGTGCCATCTTCTCTCATCCTCGTTCACATCTTAGCACGCAAAATACGTTTTTTTTAAATTCCATCACGTGTTTTATTGTCTCCGATTATTTCTCGCTTCGTATTCATTGGGCTCATTCAGTCGTTGACCCAAAACTGTTGATGGTGAGAATGCATACATCATGTTCGCATCCGAACAAGCAGATTAGAATAATGAGCGTCGTTGGTTTACGACGGTCCCGATAGGCCCGGTTTTAAGCTTGGCGCGCAATGAACTTTTTTGCCTTGACATTTCTCTCTACCCCCCCAGTTCTTTTCTTAACATTTCAACCCAAAAGATATTGACCAGTGGAATAAGGTGATCGAGCAGTTGGGGACGCCGTCTCAGGAGTTCTTGATGAAACTCAACCAATCGGTCCGGACCTACGTGGAGAACCGACCGCGCTACGCCGGCTACAGTTTCGAGAAGCTCTTCCCCGACGTTCTGTTCCCCGCAGACTCTGAACACAACAAACTCAAAGGTAAATCTGAGCTTGAACGTCTCGCCTTAAAAAATGATCCGTCCCGTGAAAGCTGCGATGCGGACAGTGGCTGCGGGAAACGGTCATTTACATTTTATATTTCATTTCCGTCTTCTCGCTCGCTCGAGGCGCCGAGAAATGTCAGACTTGTGGCCGTTAAGGGTGTTACGCAACAATATCTAAATGTGTTTGGACAGAAGGGGCTGACCTTTATATTTAGAGAGTCGAGGAGGCAACTGTGAAAAAAAAACAAAAACCAAAAGTTACATTTGTCATACCTTGCAAACTTGAGCCGACAACGGCGTGCGTGCGACAAGTCACCGCCTCGGAATAAGCTCTTAATATGGAAGCCGACACTTGGGCGACGAGTTGTTTACCGAGACGCAATTTAACCTCAGGCGCGTCTTCACGGAGAGACGATGACGAGAACGTTAGCGGCGAGCACCGAGGAAGTGTGGGGGGGGGAGTCGCACATCTTCCTTCTGTCCTAGTGAATAAAAGTACCAGAGCGTATTTGCGTTTGACATCCGCGTTTTCCCTGTCGGAACCGTTTAGGCTTGTTTGAGGATGGATCGTTATTTCTGCGAGGCTGTGCAATGGCGCGACGTGGTTGTTGATTTGCGGCGCGGTGGACGGGAGAAATGATGTAGGGTGGATAGTACGGAGGACTGCTGGAAAATGCGCAAGGGCTTGGACTTGCAACAAAAGTGAGCGTTCCCCCCCCGGGGGGGGAAAATGTCCACATTGGGGCTCGGCCATTTCAATATTTTCCAGCTTTGCCTCTTGCGCAACAGAGTGACGAGAAATGTACTGACGTGAGGCGGTTTGGAAATGAATGTCTTGTTTTTTGGTCCTCCCAAAATGGATCGCCAGCAAGTCAAGCCCGAGACTTGCTGTCAAAGATGCTGGTCATCGACGCTTCCAAGCGGATCTCCGTGGACGAGGCCCTGCAGCACTCTTACATCAACGTGTGGTACGACCCCACCGAAGTGGAGGCGGTAAGCGCCCGCTCGGAAACGGTCGCTCGAGCCCGACCGCTCGGTCTCGGTGATGTCGTGGGAACGCGTTTGAAATTGCGTCCCGTCTCGCCGCAGCCGCCGCCCACCATCACAGACAAGCAGCTGGATGAGCGGGAGCACACGGTGGAGGAGTGGAAAGGTAGGAAGCGTCCCGTCGGCGTCTTCTCCGCCCTGCGACTGGCTGCCGCCGAGGCTTTCGCCGCGTTGGTTACATAAGAGCGTTTTTCAGGGCGTTATCCCCCATTGTTGCTTGTGGGGGATTATACTCAAATGTCGACATCTTCCTCGGGAGTTGCTGTGGGATTTGCTTGATTTTTCTCCCAATACCAAACAAGCTTTTATTTTTTTTCTTTCTTCCCCCAGAGCATCGACATCCCCAGTTATAATAGAGATGTTTTTCTAACCAGAAGAAGAAAAGTGCTTCCTCTTGCAAATATGTGCCTTGATAAATGAACAATTGAACCACATTTCTTCAGATCCAAACGGTTTGGATGATTGATTGTACATTTTTCTTCCAGATTTGATATACAAAGAAGTCTTGGACTGGGAGGAGAGGACAAAAAATGGCGTCGTCAGAGGACAGTCGGCATCCATTGGTTAGTGCTAATGTACTCGATGTATTTTATTTATTTATTTTTTTGCGCAAGTATTACTTCGGTGGCATCTCGGTACCGAGGAAATCTGTATAAGTAAATTGAAAGGTTTTTTTTTTTTTTTTTAAGAGCTTTGTCGGGAACCTTTTTTAAGGGGTGACTAATGAGGCCCACTCGCAGATTTTTGCTCTTTCCGCCAAAGCGCGTTCCCCGAATGCTGCAACACGGAGCACCCCAAGCGACCTCTGACCCGGCGCTCTGTCCGCTCTTTCCCATAGCACAGGTGCAGCAGTGAGCGGTGACCCCCCGCAGCAGCAGCACCAGCACCCCGCCTCCACACGCTCCCCCGCCCATGTCGCCTCTGCGCCTGAAGACGTCGAAACGGGCGGCGCGCCGGGCCGCCGCAGGTGACCATCTGGTCAACCGCCTCCTATTGTTCGTGACGGTCTCAAAAGACAGATATTTCTTTTTTCTTTTTTTTTTCTTCCCCCGCACCCCCCTCTCAATGTTCTTTTGAGTAAACAATCTCAAGGTAAGAGACAATTTGAACGATTTCACGACAAAGCGGTTTGTGACGACCTAAATGTGTGTGGAAAAGCCCGTCAGGTCCTGCTCTGACAAGCTGTCTCGTGAACGTCCCAACGACTTTGTGAGTTTTGACACGAGATAGTCGATAGTTGCGCTCCCCTTGTCTGTTCTCCACAATGATTCAAGGCGTAAGGAACGTTGTTTTGATGAAGTGGAACCTCCCAGTTAGAACACAATCGGTGCCCAACTTCAGAGTTCAAATTTTTCTCCCCCATAGAAAATCTTGTCAAGTCAATCAATTATTTCTCTTCCTCAAACAGCGCCGTCTGTCCTAAACGTTTTAGGTATCCGGCAATGTTTGAAAAGCAATATTGAGTATTGCGGCGACCATCTTGTGGAGTCTTGGTGCCGAGGAACTGTGTTGACATGAGTCGAGGAGCTTCATTCCGTCAAAGGTCGCGCTCTGCTGTCAATTTGCGGCGGGGTTCGGTCTCGCCCACGTCCCTGTGGTGATTGAAAAGCCAAAAGAGAAATAAAAAACAAAACCTACATCCTTTGAGATGTTCACGGGCGGTCGCAGAGTGTTGTTCAACTTGTGGAGGTTCCACCGACTGCTGTGGAGAAGGGCCTACAGTCAAACGGGTGGAAATGTTGCATGTGAAAATGTTTCCGTTCAAAGGTTTTCAAGATGTACAATGTGACGACGACGCAAGTTATTTTGGGGGCGTTGGGAGAAAGTGAAGAAAAAAAAAAAACAACATCCTGTTATTAGTAACTTTTAATACTGTTGTGTGTTCATGATGTCCCTACAGATGCGAGGCGAAAAAGTTGGATGTTTAAACAGCAGTGCACCCAAAAAAAAGAAAACACGAAAAAAAAACAATTCTCACTTGATGCAATAATGTTGTCCTTTGATGTGTTTGTACCCCAAGAGAAAAGTGCCTGTTGTACTGTAACAATTCATTGGTGTTGTTCTGAAGGCATCTGGACAGTTAACAGTAGTTACCATCAAGAATCACTACTGTGTGGTTAAAAAACAAAAACAAAACAACAAAAAAAACATTTGTATATTTTTCTACTTTGTTTTTATTTTGACCCACGAGGGACATCGTAGGTGGCAACGTGTCCTAGGCAGGCAGTGTCACCAACGTCTTTCAGCAAAGTTGAACATGCGGCTTGACAACGGGAACCTTTTTCCAGGTAGCGCGACACAACACGAGATGACAGAGAGCTCGAATCATATTTTTTAGAAAAAAATTATGCTGGAGTCGTTTTACATTGCGAAAGGGTGAGGATCTTTTAATGTGTAGGTTTTTCCATGAATATTTTAAAGTTTTGGAAAGATGTGGTCCGGCTCCGACCTTCCTGTGTGGAGTCTGCGTGGGTTTTCTCCGGTGTCCGCCCACATTCCAAAAACATGCATGGCAGGTTAATGAAATTCTGTGAGCGCAGATGTTTGTTCGTCTTGTGTACCCTGCGATTGGCTGGTAACCAGGGTGTCATATAACACACCAAGGGACACTTGACAGTGCCCCATTAACCTGCATGTTTTTGGAATTTACGTGATTATTTCTTGAAAAATGCCATTTAAGATCAATTGAAAAAAAAAAGTAATAATAAAGCCTGGCTGTACATGGTCGAATAAAAATGCCAATTTAGTTCCATTTACCTGCCATGCATGCTTTTGGAATGTGCTTTGAAAAAGGAGAGCATGCAGGATCCACAAAGGGAGACCGGAGCGGAGATTGAACCCTGGACCTCTGCGCTGGGAAGTTGACACATTTACAACAGCTTCCGATGTTGAATTTGGTTTAAAAATATACTTTTCTCAAGCACGGTCACTCACACACTGAATAATCACACTTGCAGGCTCTCGGCTATGCAAATTAGTCGATTGTAATGGTTTATGCAAATGCAGGTCCTGTTGTGATTGGTGGATGTGGATTATTCATAGGGCCAGTTTAAAATGTTAAAATTACTGAGAACAGGGTTTGTGGACAGCGGAATAACTTCCTTGTTGAACCGGATGTGGTACCATTCTTGTGCTTGTTGTTCTTCTTGGGGGATTGGATCTCCTTGGTCCAAATCGCCCCCTATTGTCCAGGAAACCACAAAGGCGTTTGGCAAGCAATCTGAATCTAATTTACAGTATGAGCCAAGCATGCAAAAACACACAAGGAATTGACTTTCCCAGTTCCAACTCGCCCAGAAGATCATAAACGCAACAACAAAGACCAACATGGTGAGACAGAATCTGATAAAGGTACCCAGAGAGTTGGATTTTTTCGGTGGGACTGAACTTGTAAAATTAAAGCCACTTCAGTCGAAGGTTTGTCGTTCCTATTGGGCACCAGCAGACGGCGCCCTTTTCGTTCGACCTTTTGTTGTGGTGTTTGTTTTGAAGTGTCAACACCGACGACGGGCGCGAGCCGATGGCGAGTTCGTGGTCGAATTTTTACAATGATTCTGACTGCTGTTAGCTGACATTGGAAAGCGAAATCGGGTTTGTTGTTTCCCCTTGCTAATGGCGGGTCCTCTGCGAGAGTTTGAGACCGAAATGTTTCTGACCCCGTCCAGCTGTGACGGGCTGCTCGTGGCGGCGGAGGGGCTGGGAAAAGACCGCATTCTGCTGGAGTTCATGCAGGTGGACTCGGAACAAGGTGGCCTGGTTCTTCGACTTCACGCTCCCACCCACGAAAAACTCACCCCCCCTCCCGAAGTTTGATTTCACCGTGATAGTTTAGGTATTGCAGGTTCTAAAGCCCCCGGCCCTGTTGGGACGAGCAGAGACCACCCCGCAACCATCCAGACAAGACTTGCGTCTCAACTATTCCAGCGGAGTTGCCCTGATCAACAAAGCATCTTGAAACAATGAATAAAGTTGGCTTGCACGTTTGGAAGTGTGTGTATGGATGTTTCTTTGCACTTTGTTCACGATTGCCAATAAAGCAAAATGACACAATGTCTTTGTGCTACTCGTCTTCAATCAAAAACGAAGTTGGCTTTGCAAACTCTCTCTCCTGATCTCAGATCGCGTTCTGAAGGCAGGCAGCGGTAGGAAATACCGGCAGGTTCGACGGCTGAGGTTTGAGTGCTGCCACGTCGCCCAAAGGCGAAGCTCGTCCCATCAGTGACCACTCCACGAGAGACGCCAACCTTCTCACCAATCATGTTCTTTTTTTTTACCTACAAAAACCGACTCGTATGGTCGGCAGCCTGTGACTACATCCCAAAAAAAGTTAAGACATTTTCGTGCCGGAATGGCCTGATGGTAAAAGACGTCGCTGGATCGGCAGGCGAAACGAGTTCGAACCCCACCACCTGTTCCATTTATAAATTTAGCAAGAATCAAATCCGGGTGTCCCGTCACCTCGTCTCGGGCCGACGTTCGTACCAGAAGCGAACACTCCATGAGAGGTGCCAAGCTTCTCACCAAACATGTTGCTTTTTTAATCACTGAACATTACCTAGTGTGGCTGGCTGACGCCCTATGAGTACATCTAAAAAATTCGAAATTTTCGAGCCAGAGTGGCCGAATGGTAAAATGCATGGCGGGGTAATCAGGCGAACCGAGTTCGAGCCCCATCATCTGCTCCATTTAAAAATATTGCAAGAATCGAACCCGGTTTTCCCGGTTCTCAAGCATTGTCGTGATCCATTCGACCACGCTAATTCACTGATTAAATTTTTCGGGTGGTTATATTTGTAGACCCCCCCCCCTTCAGCGGGACAATGTGATGACAACAGATAGAGGTATTAATAGTGGACGTCACTGAGAAAGGACAGTCCAGTGGTATGTGACAGGGATGCTCCACTGGTGAACTTGAGTTCGAGCCCCCGTTCCGTCCTTAAGCAATACCTTCAGCAACCGCTCGAATTTTTTTCCACACAATATCTTCACTCGCACTTCCTGTTTCAAATTTAAAGTTAACACACCGCTTTGGCTCTCACTTTGAATGAAAAGCAGCACTTTAGACGTGCACGCACCTGGCTAACATGCTAAGCAAAATGTTTGCTCGAGCGTGAGCAATCAGCGTCACCTGCGACCTTACTTTGCAACAAAACCTTTTTTTTTCTCCCAACCTTCTAGGACAAAAGCGACGTTCGCCGAGAGGGTAAGTAGACAAAACTCATTTCCAAATTCACAATTAAACCGAACTAATGTGCATGCGTGCGTGTTAATTGTGTCATTTCTGTTCACAGGTGCAAATCTTCAAATGGACTAACACGGGCCACTCGCTGTGCGTTTTAACGTGTAATGTAAGTCCTGAACCGTTTGGCGCAAGCCCATCTAATTTGTCTCTTTTTCTTTCCACAGGCTTTGCATCTGCTACAGAATGGCCGAATTGACTGCAACACGGTAGAACTGCCACGTTTTAAGAAACCGCCGCACGACAGACTAAATCCCAAATGTGTCGATTGTAATTTCTGTCTCCACAGGCTCACGTCGACAGAACGACCCATAAAATGGCTGCCATCCTGTGGAGTTTTGGGCCCTGGCTTCACGAGGCTATGGCAGGTCTTTGACATGTCGACCAAATATCGGGGTGCTGAGCCAGGCACTTGGAAGGTTGAATATTTAAAAGTCAAGCGCTTGCGTTACCGTGTCTTTCAGGCCACCGTGCTGTCGAAGAAGCGTCCAGCTCTGCTCTCTTCACAAATAAAGCAAACATTTTCCCAAAGCCGCACATGTGAGAGTACTCGTAATTAAATCAGCAGGTGATTGACTAAAGATTGAGCAGAGGTGTCAAATCCAGAAATTTAGGAACGTTTGGCTTCAACCAAAGGAGCATTTACTCAACCAGCTTCCGGGAGCTCGTTGACCTGCTGGTTGAGTCGGCACACCTGTGGCTAAAATCAAACGTGGCGGGGCTCTTTTTTGGCCCTCGCACACTCCTCCAAATGATCAGATGGCTGTCTGGCTTTCTCAGACCTTGGCGAATATCTGATCATTTCAATCTGGTGTGTTGTACCAAGGGTCAATGGGGGAGGGGAAACGGGCGGGAGAGTGACCTCTGGGAAGTGAATTGAAGGCGCATGCTCAACGTGCATGTTTTACTGCTCTCGTCCACCAGGTGGTGCTAAAGAACCAGATACACCTTGTGAACTCGAGTCGTCCCCTTCGACGTTTGGACCTGTTGCAAAATTTCAAAGTCCTTGAACTGTTGGTTGGAGGCGGGCCCTGAGGAAACATGGCGTCATGATCCACCTGAAGCTGCAACCAAAAAGCACCACATATTTTATTTTCAAGCACACTCACCTGCTTTTTCTTTGACTCTGCATGCAGTGCAGCTTCCAGTGACCCTCCACCTGCTGGGCGAAGAGACAAATGCGACAAGCTTGCAGAAGGTCCTCACTGCTGTCTCCATTTGCAACGTTGCCGTTGAAAGGTACGAAATAAGAGTGAGGGGGGGTCTCTCGTTTGTTGTGTTGGCAGGTTTGACCACCTTGGATGAGTCACTGGACCAGAAGCAGCTTGAGCAACTGTCGCAGCAAAAGGTTCCAGTCTGCAGTTAATCAACACTTAGGAAGCAAGTTGAAAAATGAGGAGCAGAGTACAACGGAACTGCGTTTCTGGTTTGTAATTGGTGTCTACTGACCTGTGCTTTGTCTTTCAGATGGAGCTGTTGGAGTGCGATGAGGTGAAACGTGACTCTGAGCCATCTACTGGTAAGAAGTCTCATTTCAATCAGCCGGCAAAATGAGGAGCAGAGTACAACGGAATTGCGTTTCTGGTTTGTAATTGGTGTCTACCGACCTGTGCTTTGTCTTTCAGATGGAGCTGTTGGAGTGCGATGAGGTGAAACGTGACTCTGAGCCATCTACTGGTAAGAAGTCTCATTTCAATCAGCCGGATTTCATTTTTCCAGAGTTAAAGGAAGATTGTTCTTGGGTCATCCGTGCCACAAGAGGGAGTAACCTGCTCGCCGCCAGAGTCGACCTACAAGCACAGACCTGCAGCCAACACCTTTTGCTCTTCTTCCTGTTATTTGCAAGGTGCTGAAGTCAAACTTTGGGCCAGCCTGAAAAGTAGTAGACATTTACACTCGTTCAATGCACCATCATGACTACTTTTTTGACCCCCCTTTCCTTTCTCTAGGCAGCAGTAAACATGATCGGCTTCCTGCTCTCCAAAGACCCAACACTGACTCTCGAGTAAGTTTCATGCCTAACACATCTTTGCCTGCACAAGAAATTGACTTGCACGTAACTCACGGATGTCTTTCCTCTCAGGTCAACACACCTGTCCCACGTTCTTCAGAGCCGCCCAGCAACAAGCAGACTGCCATCCAACTTGCAACTTTTTCCTCTGCTTTGTGATTGTCTACTCTGCAAAAGAAATAAAGCTTGATTACAAAGAACACTTAAACTCTCAACTTCATTTTTAAACACATCATCACAATCTAACTTTAAAAAAACATTTTTAAAAACAACCAAAATTATTTTCACTTTTTTTCTGAACTTTTTTCAAAAAAATTTTTTTTCAAAAAATTTTTTTTCAAAATTTTTTTTCCTGGATTTTTTTTCCCCAGGCAGAAAAATCCAGGAAAGTAGGTGTGGCCTGGCTGGAATGATGGCCGATGATTCGCTGATAGCCGTGAAAGTGGGTGGAACGCAACGATAACGTGCTGCGATTGGTGGAAAAGGGGGCGTTGTTATGCAAATGAGGTCCTTTGTGATTGGTGGGTGCACCAGGGGGCGTGGCTATGTAAATTTAGATGGACTTGATTGGTTGGATACCGGAAAGTGGGCGTGGTTATGCAAATCAGACGATTCTGATTGGTTATGCAAATATATGCAAATGAGGGCCTCGCCGCGATTGGTGGATGCCAAATTGGGTGTGGTTTGGGGCGGGCATTGCAGCACTTTGTCAAAGTTCCACTTGAGTCTTGAGCTTAGACTTGCACTTGGGTCACATCAGACAGTCTCTTCACTGTTCCCATGGGTTTCGCATGACCCAAAAGCTCGATTCCTGGAGTTTCGAGTCATGTGGAGACCAACGGGAACAGTGAAAAGACTGTCTGATGTGACTGAAGCGCAAGTCTGAGCTCAAGACGTCAGTCTTTGAAAAGGCTTCGAGTGAGATGAGGATGGATTTAGTCACTAAGGCAAAGACTCAGATTCAAGTTGAACAATTTATTGGACAGAAAAGCGAACATGACAATGTAAAAGCATTTGACCAGTCAATCTTTGTGTGGGACAGTTCAAGTTGCACACACACAAACACTGACGGCAGGCCCGAGATGGGAGCATGTGCTTGACCAGCTCACGCGTGAGGTCACTGACATCTCATGACACACCAAGGGGGACATGAGCATGTCCGACTTCTCTCACTGAGACAAAAACTAACTGCCATTTACTCCACAACAACATGATCACACTCTTCTGGTCAAGTTTTTAAATGACATTGACCAAGTTAGTCATATGTATGTAGATATTATATATATGCATTACATAGACACATTTTAAAACTAACTTGGTCCACTTCAAGGTTTAAAAACATAT